GCCTACGAGAATGTCAATTTTCTCAAAATCTGATTGTGAAAGACACATGATATGGAAGCATACATCAATACACTGATTATATGACACCATATGTGACGAATATATGTTGTGATTGCATTTGTGTCGAGTATAATCAGTTGATGCAGCTGGCTGCCAGCTCTACGTCAAAAATGGGGCAACTCAATATATGGTAAGGACGTCCTTTCAATATCAGGGAAAGAAGAAATATTTGACAACTTCAAACTACCACCTGCCAAGATTGAACAAAGGAAAGGCAGTATAGCACAAATTAGAAACACTTATCGGTGACAGAATATTGACACATCTGAAGCTATTATGTGACTCATGATCCTGACGCCACTTGTTGTAGTCGAGGCATGGCTGTACTATAGTGAATATTTTTCAGATGCAATATTCTATGGCAATATCAATAGTGGTTGTTGTATGCACCAGATGCAATGATACCATGTAATTGTGCTAGAATTGACTGTTTTGCCTCGTATACTAACTTTGTGGCGAGATTACAAGGGAGTACACATGACAGCCACATGCTGAAGAAGAGTAACGCGCAGCAACACAAACGAACTTGATACTATGCAGGGCTCGATTTAGTACTTTGTTACTTGCACTGGTGCAACCCAATATTACAAAGTGCAATCTAACTATTAGCTGAAGTTGCACCTGGTGCAACTTAAGTTTTCAGTGGGTAAACTCTCAATAAAATCTAAATAATTCAATACCATATTTCTTACATTGCATATTCCAATAAAAGCAGTGCAACTTGAATTTGGCTGGTGCAACTAGGTTTTTGTCTTAGGTTGCACCTGGTGCAAGTAGGTTAACATCTCTTAAATCAAGCCCTGCCATGTAATTGTGCTAGAATTGACAGTTTTGCCTTGTTTTGAACTAACTTTGTGGCAAGTACACATGACAGCCACATGCTGAAGAAGAGTAACGTGCAGCAGCACAAACGCTCTTATGGTCCTGGAGCAAGCAGTAATATACATTTTTGCCCAGCAATTCCTTGTGTGTACTCGTGGCCTGGCCTGGTAACTATTCCGTTGTGAATTTCTGGTGTTAGGTTTAAGAAATAATTAACAAAAACACATCCCTGAATCTTGAAAACAAAAAATCCCATGCAGGAAGCAACGAATCGTAGACAATGAAAGTCAGACGAAACAATTATGATAATAGGGATTCATATCACAGACGGACCGATGACTTGTGACATGTTGAGAATGAGGAAAAGAGCCTCGCTTTGAGCAACATGATTGCTTAAGTTAATTCAATTTGGTCATCAATCATTTACTACAACTAGTAAGTAGTTTTGATTTTTTAACTCGATGAAAGCAAATCTAAATAGCATTTTTTATGTTGGGAGCAAGATACGGTCGGGCCATCCAATGTATTATATACTACAGGCTTCTACAACGCTCGCTTTGCACTCACAAACATAAACCATTTAGGGTTCGGTGGAAATCTGTGCATGGTGGCACCCATCACCCAACCCATGGAAGCAATTGACGGCAATGCAACGATTCAGCATGTCTTTGTTGACATCGAGAAATCAGCAAAATGATGAGCTTGTCATACATTTTATATACAACTAACTGAAAATCCTTCCTCACATGAGGTCACGTCCGGTTCGCTGCAGTGCTCTGGCAACAGAGTTACGTAGCCTCTCTGTCGTTTTGTTGGTGGGCGAAAATGAAGCAGACGACTTTGGCAACTTTTAATCGCTCGATATTGATTAACAAGTTTTTTGAGAATGAACATGGTGTTCTGCATAAGGCTAACCACAAGTCTTTCTTATGTTATGGTTAAAAGAATACAAAAAAAAAAAAGAAAATTCGTATCTTAAATTGTAACTATGTAGTGTCAGGGCTCGATTTAGTGCTTTGTTACTTGCACTGGTGCAACCGAATATTCAAAGTGCAACTTAGTTATTAGTCTAACTTGCACCAGGTGCAAGTCAAGTTTTTAGTGGGTAAACTTCTGAATGAAATATGTACATAATTCAAGAGGATATTTCTTTCATTACATATTACAATAAAGGCAGTGCAACTGGAATTTGGCTGGTGCAACTAGGTTGTTATCTTAGGTTGCACCTGGTGCAAGTAGGTTAACCTCTCTTAAATCAAGCCCTGAGTGTGTATGATGGATTACTTGTTTTTTAACTTGGTGCTATGACATTTTTTGTTTGTAAATGATATTGTAATGAATATATGTTTAAAAAAACTCATCTAAGCTTTGTGCTTAAAATGTCCATGTATGCAGACTTGGTCTCGTCGCTATATGGCTGAGATAACGCTGATGCGGCATAAAACCCAACTCAACTGAACTCAACTGAACTCAACTGAAAGAGGTACTGCGATATACTGGTCATACCATGTAGCCTTAACACTTAGACTCCTCGGTTTCCAATGGGTTTTTTACCCAACATGGTAGACTCATCTACTGTATCATATACCAAAGATATGAGATCCGCCTCCGTGGTGTAGTGGTAGAGCGTCCGCCCGGAGAGCGGAAGGTCGCGGGTTCGATCCCCGACCGCGTCATACCAAAAGACGTTAAAATATGGTACTTGTTGGTCCCTGTCTGGCGCTCGGCATTAACTCTTTCAACACCAGTCAACCAGAGGCATTTACTGTCATGACACCGAGTTCCCAGAGACCCTGTAAGAAGCGATTTTATTGGATAAAGATTGGTTTCTAATGACGCTTTTTCGCCACAGTCTGCTATAAGGATCGTGATTGGTCAAAATCAGACACATGACCTAAGGCAGCAAATCATATTACGGCAATGGATACCGTCCTCGTAAACGAAACCTTTTCGATTTAGACGAAAGTTTTGGGTAAAATAATGCTATTCTGAACATATTAAGCAAGAAATCGCTACCTATACGTAAATTATGGAACTTATTGGACGTATCGTGCTAGGTTATGACCTGTGACAAAAATGCTTCATGTATATATTTTCGCATTAAACATCTTGTCCGAGCGTGAAGATTGAGGCGGCGAGAGCCGAGATGTCATTTGTCAGTGACTTGACTTACATTACATGATCGCACAAAAAGATGGAAATAGTAATTTTATATGTACGTTTGACAACTTTTATGAATGTTGTTGATTTTATTCATTAGTTTATTCAATTTATTTAATGAATTCCTCGAAACATCGTTACTTTGCCCTTTGACAATGTTATTGTGGACCTGCTGCCGAAGCATGTGTCCGAGAATCGTTGTTTTCAATAACATTGCGAAAAATAGTTTATAATTTTAATTCTGCTGATAATATATGATCAATTGAAATTTAGTAAGTGTTTTCAGACATTGTGAAATGTGATAGATTTAATATATGAATCATAAGTCAGGTAGGTTCCTAAAATTATGTCTCATTTTGACGTGACTACTGCCTGACCTCTTAAGCGGCCTCCGGTGTCTGGGACTCATAACGTTGTGGCCGATTATTCGGCCTGCGGTGAATGGGTTAATGGGTACAACAAGGACTGGTTGGCTCGGAGTCAGTATAATGTGTCTGAGTGGGGTATTCATGCTTCACTGCGGCATGGTATCTCAGTGGGCTAGCACTATAAAATCAGCTTCAGTCTGGGCTAGTACAAGCAGCCACACATACACATACACAGGCATGCACGTCGTCATATGAGCGAAATATTCTCAAGCACGACGTTAAACCCAATTTCACCTCACCTCACCTCACCTCACCTCACCTCACCCACAGATATGAAAGGACCGACAACCGTTACAATATAGCATTGTGTATAAAATATATTCACGATAGAAAATTATTTTTACAAATCATCCTTTATCATAATACATAACTGCAAGATTCTGCAAAAAGAACCAATTTGTATTGACCTTTACAAACTATAACCAAGATGGCGTCATAATGTCTTCCATATAACAAGAAGACCCCTTGTATGTTCAACATTACTGTAATTTTCTCAATTTTCATACTGTTTCCATGTATTGATTTCATCATGATATGAGATCGATGCTCATGCTGTTGATCACTGGATTGTTTGGTACAGACTCGATTAATTACAGACCGTCACCATGTAGCTGGAATATTGCTGAGTGCGGCGTAAAACTAAACTCACTCACTCTCTCATTATTATTAGTATACTAACATTTGTATAGCGCCAATATCCAGCTGAGACAGTTGCTCAAAGTTGCTGAAATATTGCCAGTGTGATGTGAGATATTAATTAATTCACTCACTCCATTACTCGATCACTCACTCACTCCATTGCTCAGTCACTCACTCCATTGCTCGGTCACTCACTCACTCACACACTCCATCGCTCACCGGCTCACTCACTCACACAGTGGGTACAAAGTGGATCCGTGACTTCGCTCACGGTATTAACCACTGGATTGTATAGTCCAGCTTATTCACAGACTGCAGTATTCAAGCTATTGTCAAGTATGGTGTCAAACACACAATCTAACTTAGCCTTGTTTTGAGACCTGAAATTACATGAGATTTCGATATTCCACTGTTCTGAAGGAGGAAGCTGGTCTACCATTACATCTTGTTATTACTATCCACGAGTACATGCTCTGTGTTCGTTACTTGCAAATGTACGCAGCACAACCAAGCAGCGATGTCTAGCCAACAGCATGTTTGGTACTGTGTTAAAACTGTGAAATGTGAATGGAATCCTGCTCAGAATTGTTGCTGGAGAATATTCCACCAGGAAGTTGGGGGAAGATAGAACATGTCATGTTGTGTGAGATTCTTGGGAGAAGCCGTCTTTGACCCGTGCCAACCATACCAATACATGAAAATCGTGATATTGACATCCTCGTTATTACACCAAACCTAAATAAACAATTTCCAACATTTGCTTGCCGATTATACCACAAGCCCACGCAAACCTCCACTCAAGGTCCAGCCAAGACCAGGAATCCTCCCTCTCTATACACCAGGAACTGTATACCGCCTGCAGCGCTATAACGAGACAACATATGGACTTACCAAGCTCTGTTGCTAACTGCCTTGGAGCTGTGGCCAGAACACTGGGGTACAATTCCCATATTGAATCCAACCAGGAATAGTTCCGTATGACAGGATGTGTGATCTGTGAGTGCTACATCCAGACTGACCGTTCTGTGAGTGAGCTGATTGTCCCTCTCTGCATCACAGTCACAGACAGGGGCAGAGCTTGGACCAGTCCATTATGTCCAGTGGGGAAGGTTTTCTGCTCACTGTCTTCCTGAACATAATTAGACCGGTTCCTCACAAGATATTCCGATTTCGGAGATATTCAATATTCTTTTTAGCAGGAAATCAATTTTGTATCTCTCTTTTTGTGAATGGGTTTATGATAATAATCGTTATGGATTTTTTTTCTTTTTGAGGGTTTCTGTTAAGTGCTTTTGCGAAACGGATTTGTTGTGCAATAATTGCAGCATTTGTTAAAATAATAGCGTATTTCCGTTAGTATTTCCTGATCCTAGCAGTGATGAGATGCAACATGGACGTCTCCAGGACGAGAGTGAGGATGGTTTTAATTTTCATCCAAAATATTCAAAATTGAGAGACAGATGGTACTATATTAATGATTTTGCATTTTATATTTTTTTAAGCAAACTGTTGACAACATCTGTGTACGGGCCCCTTCAATGCATTTCGTTTCAGTCTGATGATGATGATGATGATGATGATGATGATGATGATGATGATGATGATTCATTCAATCCATTCTTTTAGTCTGATGATGATGATCCATTCAATCCATTGTTAAAGTCTCATGATGATGGTGGTGTCTGTTCATTAAACATGCTGGATATGTTAAAAATAAAGAATCTTAAAAATAAATGATTGGCCGATCATTCAGAGAAAAAAACAGTACGTTTCGAGGCCATGAGTATTAAATGAATGTTGTCAAATGGATCGGAATCAATGAAGCATGAAAGGCTGATAAGACTATATCCGGCTCGCGAGAACAACAAAAGCACTAATATCAATATTGTCATGCTATGGCTGTAACAGCCCCCTGACTTCACTAGCTATGGGGGGATGTTGCATGCTGTATACAGGTGTGGTAACGAGCCGCCCGCCAAACACTGCACTGCCATACCTGTCACTCAACTGTCAATCAATCTAAATCACTGATCTTCATCTATTTCCCTTCTGCCCATCCCTATCTCAAATACCATAGCCTAAAACATCTAGTCTCTGAAATGAACAACCCATGAAGATCTGGGCTAGAATTGGTCGTCAGCAACTCCATGATTCTCGTAAGAGGCGACTAACAGAATAAAATAATTCATCCATAATTTCTAAAGTTTACTATTTAAATGTAGATATAATGCAGACAGGGTCACTTCACTCTACAGACGATCTTTTCATAAATGTAGGTACCCAAAGATCAAAGGGCTTGATTTAGTGCTTTGTTACTTGCACTGGTGCAACCCAATATTAACAAGTGCGACCTAGTTATTAGTCAAACTTGCACCAGGTGCAAGTCAATTTTAGAGTGGGTAAACTTCTGAATCTAAATAATTGAATCTACATATTGCAATACAAGCAGTGCAACTGGAATTTGGCTGGTGCAACTAAGTTTTCATCTTAGGTTGCACCTGGTGCAAGTAGGTTAACATCTCTTAAATTGAGCCCTGAAGTTGATATGGGAGGGTTTAAGAGTGTGCATGGCATAAATTTCCACACTGGTGGGAAAATTGATATTAAAAAAGTTTATTTTTTCATGTCGGACTGAAGATTCAGGGTTGGCAGGGGATGGGAACATTGTAAAGTATATGTACAGCCTTAGACATGGCATGTGTTGGTTGGTGCAGAATGATGCTCACTTGAGTTAAAGTCAGAATGGTGGTTTCATAAACAGGAACCCGTGAAGGTCCGGGTTAGAATGAACTTTCAGTAACCCATGCTTGTCGTAAGAGGCGAATTCTTGGTTGACACATGTCATAGTATCCTAATTGCGTAGATCGATGCTGATGCTCATGATATTGATCACTTGATTGTCTGGTCCAGACTCGATTATTGAATATTGCGGATATTGTGGCGTTAAGAAAACAAACAAACAACGGAAATGAACATATTTTACAGAAAAAAAATATATGTGGAAATCTCGACTTGCTATATGTTCTCGAGTTGTATGGGCTTTCTGGGTTATATACTGAAGGAAAAACATAAGGGATCACGTAAAAGCACATTGTAAACCAAAAGTCACTGTGTTCTTTAACCTGATTGGTTGAAAAACGTGATGAAATGGTATTTGATTCCCGGAAATTCTCTGCGTATTAATACATACAAACATTGCTCACACCATTGTATTGTTACGTCGTCAGCTGTGATGACGTCATTAAAATCATATTGTGACGTAAAGTCTGAATGACGTCACAAATGAGCAGTTCCAGATGCTACCATGGGAGACAGCCGAAACGGCCGGCTGATGACATTTCACTGCTGTACCTGTACTCGATGTCAATGAGAGCAGACACAAAAAACGTGTGTGGACCTTTCGGTTTACTTTTGTGTTTACAATGTCGATAAACATCATGTGTTTGCCAATTTCTGGGTGTTATTGAGTATTTGAAGCACGGGAATATTTCATTTGAAACCTCCAGCTGACGCCGTCGGTTCCAAATGAATTCCTGTGCTTCAAATACTCAATAACACCCGGAAATTGGCCAACACATGATGTTTATCTCCTAATTATTCCCTTCTTTGTTTCCAAGTTTCTTCAACAAGATGTTCGATACAAAGCTTGTGTTGAACCTGGGAAAAAAATAAAGGAATAATGTGCTTTCATGTGATCCCTTATTTTTTCCCCTCAGTATATTTGTCTCCGGGTCTGTAGGACGGACTACCTGTCACTCATCTGTCAGTCAATCTCAAATTACTGATCCTCATCTATTTCCCTTCTGCCCATCCCTATCTCAAATACCAAATCCCTAAATGAAGCAAGTCTAGATCTTATCAGGAAAGTCCAACCCCCACGGTTCCTTTTAAATTTTTCTATCGAAAGTATGTAGTCTGAGACTAAACATGTGCCTCAGCGATGTTACATCCATCACTTCAGTTACACAGTGCAGGTTAAGGTATAGCTACAAAGAGGTCAAGGTCACGAGTAGGTCAGGGACATGTGGTATAAGATGTATATTCACCGAGCGAGCGGTATTAGACAAAATCCCTGGAATTTTCTATGATTGTATGTATTCCCTGACTATACAAGTATCCAGTTTGTCCCCAAACTTTTGAGTCTATTAGTTGATTTTCTGTAGAATAAATCTGCCATGATATTCCTAGAATATAGCTAAAAGCAGTATAAAACCATACTCACTCACTCAGGGCAGTGGGGTAGCCTGATGGTTAAAGCGTTTGCTTGTCACACCAATGACCCGGGTTCAATTCCCCACATGGTACAATGTGTGAAGCCCATTTCTCGTATCCCTTGCTGTGATGTTGCTGGAATATTGCTAAAAGTAGTAATGCCACACTCACTCACTCACTCACTCACTCACTCTGTAGAATAAGTGTTACTGTATGTATTATCACTGGGTGGGCGAATGAGAATTTTATGTAGCAAGTATTCCGATCACACACTGCGCATCCATTTTGAAGGGCAGTGGGTGAGTTCATTTGAGACTGTAGGGGTGTGGGCATCTCAGACACCCTGACTTTCTGTGCAGATTTGTGTCACTTCAGCGTTCCAAAATCCTTGGTTCCCAGATTTCTCCTGATCAAGGCAGGATTCAAGGATTATCTGACAGCGTTCACGAATGTTGTTTCAAAGTAACAGGACATTGGGTCCTGTAAGTTTCAAATGTCTGTCTGACCCATTGAAAATTCACAGGACCCATAGAATAAAGTTAAACACACATTTCAGATTTAACATTTCTTATAATTGGCATTGAAATTATTAACAAACATAAGATTTATAAACAGCAAACAAGTGTCACATGTCACATATAACAACTTCAGTCAAAGTCATTGTGAAATATACAGTCAGACACTGGGGCCGGCGGGTTGTACACTTCTGTTGGACTGTTGGCGAATCTGCCGGATTTGTCAGACGGTCTGACGCTATTTGTGAACACTGTTATCAGTTCTATCCCTGTGTTAGACGGTTCCATCAAAGTCTGAAACTTGCGTTTATTTCTACCACGTTTTCAATCATAGAATATGTGTGTCTTGAATATCTATGGCAAAATTTGTCATAATTTTAACATATGAAGGGATGGTGTAAATCCAGCTAGGGTCCATGCAGGCAGTGTGCGAAATAGTTTCCAAATAGTTTCCAAATTTTGCTTGCCAGTCGGGCTTGCTTTGCCTGAAAGTTACTAGCCCACAAAAAAAATTCACTAGCTCGAATGTTGAAACTAAGCAAAATGTTACAAAAATAGATGAGAATAAGATATTGTTGGCATGACAGGGATTTCATCATTAAACTGTTAATATGATAAACATTTTTATCAGGCCATAATTCTGCATGATTTAAAAGAGTATTATAACTTATCAAGTTCAAGAGAGTGATATATTTACAAAATTAACCCATGAAAATTCACAAGCCAGTTGGACCAGTGACTCTGGAAATTTACTCGCCCGACTGAATTTTTTCTAGCCACAGGCTAGCAGGCCAGTGGCTATTTCGCACACTGCATGCAGGTATCAAATGTATATAATTATTTGGGCATGAGTGTCATAAACGTAGTGTACAATGTAAACATAATTTTTACAAGCTTGTAAGGTGAAGAGGAACAATATTTATGGAGAGAAAACTTCTTCTCATCCATTGCTATGAGATGTGGTCTGTCCATAAAATTTTTCCCTCTTCACCATACGAGCAAGTCTGTCTCACAGTCCCTGAACCACATTATTTTCCCTACTGCCTAGCCCTCCCTGCAATGTAGTCTGTCTCACAGTCCCTGAACCACATTATTTTCCTTACTGTCTAGCCCTCCCTGCAATGTAGTCTGTCTCACAGTCCCTGAACCATATTATTTTCCCTACTGCCTAGCCCTCCCTGCAATGTAGTCTGTCTCACAGTCCCTGAACCACATTATTTTCCCTACTGTCTAGCCCTCCCTGCAATGTAGTCTGTCTCAGTCCCTGAACCACATTATTTTCCCTACTACCTAGCCCTCCTACAATGTAGTCTGTCTCACAGTCCCTGAACCACATTATTTTCCCTACTGTCTA